GTTCAACATCACTGGTCATTCAAGAGATGCAGATGAAAACAACACTGAGATTCCACCTCACCCCAGAAAGAATGGCTGCTATCAAAAAATCAACCAACAGGCCAGGGATTTAGCTCAGTGGTTTCGCCACCTGCTGCACAAGCACAAGGACCCGAGTTTGATCCCCGGTACCAAAAGAAAGATATCAACCAGTAACAAATGCTAGCAGGGGTGTGGGGAGAAAGGAACCCTTCTCCATTGTTGGTGGGAGTGCAGGTTGGTGCAACCACTGTGGAAATCAGTATGGGGATACTTCAAAGAACTAGGACGAGAGGTCTCATTTGACCCTGCTCTTCCCCTGCTGGGTATCATCCCAAAACAATTAAAAGAATCATACCACAGCGATATATGTGCACCCATGTTTACAGTGGCACAGTTTGTAACAGCTAAAACTTGGAAACATCCCAAGTGCCCATCAACTGGAAACTGGATAAAGAAGATGTGGTGTTTATTTTTTATAAAATGGAGTACTACTCAGCGATAAAGAATGAGAAACTAGAGTCATTTATAGCTAAATGGATGCATATTGAGGCCATACTCTCAAGTGAAATAAATAGGACATACATGTGTAAATATCAAATAGTTTCTCTAGTGTGAGAAACTGAAAGTGTAATTAAGGATTAAAAGGATTAAAATGAATAATTGATAATTTGAAATTGGAAGAAAAGGTCCAAAGGGGTAGGGGTGGTCAGACAGGAAGGGGAAAAGAAAGAAGGGACAGGAAAAATTATGAGAAAAGAAAAAAAAGGAAACAAAGTCTGTGTAAATAGGGAAGGGTGGAGGGGGTGAAGAGTGCACAGGTAATGGAGAAAAAATAAGAACCAAGATACATCATGTACAGGTACAAGCACCCAATGATAAATGTGAACGTATTGTATACCTAGAATGTACCAATAAAAGAATTTAAGGAAAAAAATGTACCAATAAATGTTTTTCTAAAACAAAACAAAACAAGTTATGCCAGGCAGAGTTAGTGCACAAATAAAACTCAACCTTCAGAACTAAGAATTGTGTGGAAAGAAAACAAGGGAAAAAGAATTTAGAATTTTTTGCAAATCTACCAGATACCAGGCACTTTTTCACATTATTTCATTGAATCTTCATAATAATCCTGAGAGAATGGTGTTTTAGGGCTAAGGCTACAGTTTAGTGATACAGCACTTGCCTAGCATGTGCAAGGCTCTGGGTTTGATCTGTAGCAATGGAAATAAAAGAATGACATTTTATAGACCAGGAAACAGAAGCCCAGTGAGGTTTAATTACCTACTCAAGGTCACTTGGCTAGGAAAGAACATAGCAAGGATATACTATCTCTAATCTTTCTCCCGGCCCCTGCCTTGTTGGAAATCCAGAATAGGGTGCCCAGGCTGATATCCTGAAAATAAAGCATTATTTTACTGAAAAGAAACTGTGGCTCCAAGTGAGGCAGAAATGGTGCAGCTGGTATCTTTCAGGCAGAACTGAGAACTCCAAACTCAGGGCAGCACTACCTGCAGTGTACTCTATGGACCTGTGCCTTCAACAACAGGAGAAACAGGCATGTGTGTCTTTGCACTGTGTCACCTGCAGAAGGGCCACACATGACACTGACTGATGGAGAGCTACCTGCACCACGTTGACTGGAACCCTGCTCCGGAGAGACTCCCTGGACAGAACCCCAGCGATCACTGCAGGATCCATGCAGTACTTCCGGCCAACTGTCCGAACAATGGGCTGGTATCTTAGCAGGTAAGGCAGGTCTATTTCAGCCAGCCTTTCAGAAGCACGGACTCCTGAAACAAACGCAGGAGGAAGGATGCAGCTCAGGGTGACTTACTCAGAGGGGAGCCAGCAAGGAGAGAGAGAGATCTGGTAGCCCAGGGTTTTGTCCTAAATCCCTGGTCCTGCTCCCTGACCTGAGATTGAGGATTCTCTTCCTGAGAGCTTGAGCCAGGTCCCTCCCATGCCTCTCCTGAGACAGATGTCCTCTATGGCCACCAGCACCCCTCAACCAGGCTCCTGATGCAATTCTATGCCCATGGGCACCACTGGGCCCCTCCTAAGCACCCCAGACAGGGTTCCCAACAAAATGTGCAGTACCCATCCTTTTGCCAGCTGGGCACACACTATGGAGGAGAAGTTCCCCTAAACACTTCACGAAGTCCTTGGAGTCCCTCACAATGGCTTTGCCTATGATTGGCCACCTTTCCACTCCTAAGTGACACCAAGAATCGTGTATGTTTAAACCTTTATCTAACAAGAATGCCAAGAACAATGAAAATTGATACTAATTTAGCTGGCTGGCCTCACCTTCTAAGCACTTACGGTTTAAGAAGCCCTCTCATTTCATGACATTAATCAGAGTTCACCACAACACTATAAAGACTGTCACCCCACCATTCAAAGGAGGTTTGGGGAAGCTGAGTGACTTTGTTGAAGGAGCACAGCCAGGACTCTGAAAAGGTCTTTGGACTCAAGGTCCAGTGTTCTCACCATTCCTTGGCGTGGGTCATAGCAGAAGCCTAGAGGATATGTCAAAAGAGCAAGAGGGGACAGAGAGATGTAAATACCACAGTAGGTCAGGCCATAACGTCTTCCAATCCCACAGGATGCTCCCGGGCTGTCCAGGGTGCGGATGTTCCCATAGCATCCCCAATTGCTGCTTTCAGATGAGCCTGCAGATCGAGAAAGATTTAGCCTTAGGCACTACACTAGAATAGTCCTCATCATCTTTCTGTCTGTGAATGAAATGACATTAATACAGTCAACTATGATAAATGAAAAAGAACTTGACTCTGCAGTCAAAACTTTAGGAGTTTATCCAATAGTATCTTAAGAAATTATAACAGACAATGCTTGATACTAAGTTCTCCCCTCCTGTTCCACAGACATGAGCATCTACTGGGGCAGCTACACTCTTTGCAAAGCTCAAGGGCTGTATGATGCTGCTGGGTATGGGTCTTGGAATAAATCAGAGATTATCAGATAATAGATGAACTCTAATCTTCATCTTACTTCCCTCAGCATATACTTAAATATTCCTGACTCCTTGGTCCAGTGAGATATTCATGGAGAACATCTGGAGAAACACATATAACACCTGAGTCTCTCAGGGAATCTCAACTCAGACCCTGAGAAAAGTCACTGCCCATATAATGAGGTTGGCTTCACCTTCTCTTGATGCCTTCTAGGTGGGGACCCTAGGTTGCAAAGAGTGGGTGTGCATGTGAGGCATAGGGCCAGGTCTCTACATGGAGGGGTTTCTTCTGTTTCTTCCCTGTGTCTCTTTGCATCTGTCTCTACTTGGAATTTAGTCATCACTGAAAGGGAGGCATTGTTTTAGACACTACTGAGATTTCACAAAGGCCCTGTAAGAAAAGACTGTTTCTTCTTTTCACACCTGAATGAGAGTTGATGAGTACTAACAATAGACAGCTGAACCTCTATATTTGTGGGTTCTGCACCTATGGTTTCAACAATTGGAGATCAAAAATTTTTTAGGAAAAAAATTGCCTGTACTGAACATGCACAGACTTTTGTGCTTGTCATTATTCACTAAGCAATACAATTTAACAACCACTTGCATAGCATTTGCATTGTATTAGGAACAATATGGAATCTAGAGGTGACTTAATGAGTATGGGAGGACTAGTGTAGGTTCTATGAAGGCACTACACCATTTCATAGAAGGGTCTTGAGCATCCGAGGATCTGGATATCTGATATCCTGACTTATGACTATAAATTCACAATGGGCACTGGATAAGGGTACATGAACCAATAAGATACCTTTATGTGGCCCAGGATTTAGCTCAGTGGTTTTGCCACCTGCTGCACAAGAGCAAGGACCTGAGTTCGATCCCCGGTACCAAAAAAAAAAAAAAAAGATACCTTTATGTGGCAGGAAATTGTTCCCTGTAAGAACTTTCTCATCATTGTAAGCCAATAAGAACTTCTCAATAGAGTCCTTTCCAAAATAGTATTTAATAAGGATTTTTTTCTTTTCTATTATCATACAATATTTGTATCATATTTGTGATACATAATGAATTGGTTGCTTGTCAAATCTTAATGATCTTCGGAAATATGTCTATTGCATATATCATATGTGGTCCATATGTTTACATAAATGCATTCCTAGGCTGTGTGTTCTTACAGTTTCAAGGGGTCAATGTCTGAAAATACTAGTATTTTGGAGTAAATGCTTCTACCTCCCAAACTTGGGATGAGCAATGTGGAAATGAAAAGACCTGATGCTTTATGACTACATTAAAAATTGAAGAAGCCAATGTGTTCTTTTAAATTTTTTTAACCAGTGCACATTTGTCGTTCTGATTGGTCACAAATACCCTGAAGGTCACACTTGGTTTTCACTTTTTGCTCCCCCCCTTGTGGACCGCTCCCTAACCACATTCTATGATGCTCAAACTTCCTCATATTCCAGTACTTAGCACCTTGTAGGAATTTAAAAATAATTGTTAAAGGACTGAGCCAATAAATGAATGAATGAATGTAAGACATTTTAAAATTTAGAGACAGGAAAAGTTTTGTACCTTCTGAAGAACTGTGATTCCTCATTTTATTTATCAAAAAAATTTGCTTTCACTTTTCATCCAGCTGCAAGCAATGTTAGGGCCACAGCAGAAGCACAGTCACAGCAGCTGGGTCAGCCTGGGTGGCTATTAGCTTGGGCCCATCTTGTCAGCTTATGTACTAGTTCTCCATTGGAATTACATAAATCTTATTGTGGCAACCATCTCAACATTTCAGTGGAATACACAGTCTATAAATAAATTCAATCGATACTTTGTATAGTGGGAAATGAGTCGTTATCATTCGTGTATGTTTAAAGTCTGACCTCAAGCAACCCTGTTTTAAAGCCCACCCTGAATTCTGGGGAAACTCAACCTTTCATGGGGTATTGGGAGAGAGACTGCTTGTCATTGACTATTCCTAACTCCAGGATTTAATGGACATTTTAGAAGAAAGATCATATTTCCACTCCAGTTTTGAGTACAAAAGTACCACTATGTTCTTGTACTTTCCCTTCCCATCTCCAGGGTGGTTTGGAAAAACTAAAACCCACTCACCAGTCAAGGCCAGGAGGCCCAGAAGCAGCCACAATGCAGACATATTGAAGATTTGGCTCTGCCGCTCCTGAAATGCTTTAAAAATGAACATTAGCTTGAAGATGTAAAAACATCCATCTTTGTCATTACAGTGTGTAACATTTCTGGGAAGGGAGAATGAATGGAATGAGTTTTCCTGCATGAGAAGTAAGAAAAGTAATGAGTAAAATCATCATCATCATACACACACACACACACACACACACACACACACAAAGCAAAAGTAGGACAAGTGCTCCATCTTTCCTTAAAGAGGAGGAGATTTCTACTCGTACCACAGGGATGCCTCTCAGCGTCAAGACACTGAGTGCCAGCAAGAAGTCAAGATGCTTTCATTCTGGACACCCAGAGACTCTGGGCCCACTCAAGTCCCTGAAAAGCCAACTTGTCTTTTCTTTTTTTTGGTACTGAGGATCAAAGTCAGGACCTCTTGCTTGTCAGGCAGCCGCTGTGCCACTGAGCTGCAGCCCCCTGAAAAACCAACTTTTGATGTAGTGTCTTATCCAAAGGGCCTCTTCATTATCCAAAGATAATGTGAAAAGAAGAGTTTTGGGTTGCTGCTGTCCCTACTCTGGGTTCTTTGCCCTTTAGGTAGGAGGACAGGCCACACTGTCCTTGGTGCCTCGGGACATATGCTGATTCTTTACTTGGAGATGAAGGAAGGAGTCAGAAGTCATTCCCCATTGCTCTTGTCCCCACCCTGGGGGCTCCAGATCCCCTCAGTCACCTTGAACCACGTTCCTTGTTCTCCCTCTCTAGCACACCCTTACCCTGCCTGTGCTGAGGATCAAACCCCCGGCCTTCACACTGAGCTACATCCCCAGCCCCTTTTTATTTTATCAAATGCCTAGGCTGGGCTCTAACTTTCACTCCTCCTGCCTCAACCTCCCAGAGTGCTAGGATTATAGGTGTGCACCACCACGCCCAGCTTGTAAAAACTCTTGTGCTAGAACCCAGGAGGATAGAAAGATAACCGCCCGGAGAAGTCAGGTCACTGGCAGGGGCCCCGGATGAACTCACTAAGTGCTTGCTCAAGGGGAGAACGGATAATCACCCAGGATCAAACATGCACTCCCCTGCTTTCTCTCTCTCAGCCCAACGCCTCCTTTCCATGCCTTGTGCCTTGCACCTTGCACGAGTACAAGGAGCCCCGGTTCCACCAGAACCCCCCCACTACTACTACTGCTACACACACACACACACACACACACACACACACACAACACACACCCCAGAACAGCTCACAGTTGTCTGGGCCTCTGCCTCACAGTGTCCACCTCCACCAACCTTCTCACCTCAGGGTGTTTCCTGTTGACTTTCTTGGGATCAGCAGAGCCTCAACCTGTCATTTGGAGTTATTGCTATCATTGCCTGCAGGAGCCTGCATGGAAACCTGGTGCTTTGCGGCTTTTTTTTTTTTTTTTCCCTTTTCTTTTCTGGTGCTCGGAAACAAACCCAGGTCCTTGCTCAGGCAAGATCTCTACTACTGAGCTGTACCCCCAGGCCTCTTTTGGTTTAAGGTTATTCTTATGGGCAATTTCTTCCAAACACTCAGGAAGACATGATGTCCCCAGATAGAAAGTTCCACGGTGGTGGTTGTTGTTTTGTGGTACTGGTGATTGAATCCAGGACCTTCACACTGAACTACATCCCCTACAGCCCTTTGAAATTTTATTCTTTTCTTTCGACACAGGGTCTCACTAAGTCACTCAGTTGCCCAGGCTGGGCTCTAATTCACCATCCTCCTGCTTCAGCCTCCCAGAGTGCTGGGATGACAGAGGTGCCCCACCACACCTAGTAAGTTCCATCTTCTTAAAGTTTAGGGGAAGAGGTCCCTCAGATGAGGCCACACTTTTAGCCTCTCTTCCCTGCAACATTGGGGTGGTCTGTGGATTATGCTTAGCTGAGTAGAAAATGTCATGCTCAGTCACCAGAAAGGTATGGGAACTTAAGAGTTTTAGCTGGGCTGGCAGAACCCTAGGAATCAATTATTCAGCATCCCTGAGCCCCCAGCACTGAATGCAAGAGGACAATCAATCCAGGAAAAAACAATGGAGAAAGCTGCTCTGGCACAGAAAAAGCCCACAGTCTCATGAAATCCATCTTTACGCATGTATCTCACTGGCTTCATGGAAAGGAGCCTTAGAAAAAAAGCACTGTTTGTAATCAAATGCTAAGCTTTGGGTGTTTCACTCTCTTTGTGCTTTTCCAGGAAAGAAAGATGCTTCCCCTTGGAAACTCAAGACAGCTTTTGTTGCAACATGAGAGCCACCTCATGTTCCAAACACTAAGTTCTTCCAAGAACTAACTTCTGTGCTGAGCAGCTACTTGCGTGAGTCTGTGTAAATAAATGTGCCAGTTACTTAGTAACCCAGTCAATTTCTGGTTGTCCATGAGACCAGATCTTCAAAGAAATCTTTTCCAGTTACATCAGGGAAGAGCAAGAAGTGACAATGCACTTCTTATATGAATGGACAAAATGTTCCACCCCCAAACTCATAAACATAGCAGGTGGAAGCAACCCAAACTCTGTGGCCCAAATTCACAGGTGCCCCAAAATACTCTGTCTGGAAGGAAGTATTCAGGCGTCATGGGGTGTGCTCATGGACTGTCCACTGGTTACTTAGGATGAATTTGTTAATACCTCTGTGGCTCCCTGCCTTGAAACTTATGACAATGCCAGGCCAGGTCAAATATGGCGTCTTGATGCTAAGCATAAGATATATGGTAGCATCACTCTTCTGCCACCTTGAAGAGCAAGCCAGTAGCTAACAGCAGGGGGGTGTTAACAGACTGGAACAACATGCCACCCTAGAAAGTGGTGACCAAAGCATTCCTCAGGGGCTACTTCAAGTTCCTGGTGGCCTTGATCAGGATGTCTTCCTCTACTTATCTTCTCTCCATTGGGCACTTTGTAATTCCCAAAGCATTGTTTAGATTTGGGACAATTGTGTAGATTAGGGACAAGAATAATTCCTTTCTTTGCTCAAAGTTTTCCTGGGAAAAGTAGAAAGAGGGACTTTGATCTTTGTGGTTCTCACTATAGAATTCCCATTCCTTTTCCATGAATGCTCTTGATCTTCATATTAACCTTGAATGAGAGCACCCTGGGTCCTCGAGGCCCTCCAACTAGCCTGGAATTGTGCTGCATTAAACACCCCGACATGCTGAGAGATGAGGGTGGCCCTGCCCCACTGTGGTCCCCATCTGATTCTAAAGGATTCAAGAAAGGCTCTATAGATCTGCATTAGGCAGGGTCTCCCACTCCAAATTGTGTTGCTGCCTTGTTTGTTGCTAATTCATCTCTCCCCCGCCTGCTCCCTGTGGGCTGAGGGCCCTTTTCAGGAGCATCATATCTCAGTCATACCCATCCTGCTGTCTTGTTCTTCCCCTGACTCCTCACACACATAGCAACAACCCAGCCCATTGCCCACTATGCATCAATAGTCCTTAAACTAAAATGATAACAGCAACAAAAGTCACACATTCAAAATGCTTCTGCTCTGGAATGCACTTTCTGGAGAAAAACGATCTAACATTTTAGCAGAAAATATAAGGCAGCAGCATGACAGCTCATTTCAAATTGTCACTGTTTACAGATGGCATTTTTACATGGTCTGTGAAAACGCAAATTTGCTGAATTTGGATTGTGAGCCGTGATGACCAGCCCAGAAAACCTCAGAAGGATCAACTTGTTCTCTTGTCCCTCTGAAGGGAAATCCTTTCCTTGTTGAGAAGATGGTGCCATGACAGGAGGCTTCTTCCTGCTGCACCTGCTTTTCCTCACTTGACCCATTTGTGTTTCCCAGAGCTGAGAGCCTGAGGATGGCTGTTTTTCTCATGGTGGAGATCCGTCCTGGAGTTTCCCCTTCTCAACAAAGGACAAATCAAAGAGACTCTGGCCTCTTTGTTCCATCGATAGACTCTTGAAGCTCACTTATCCTTTTACTCTATTAGCTAAGACACCAACTGGTAGGCATGCTGGCCTTAGTACTTCCACAGCTTCCAGAGAACATAGGCCTCTGTCTGTTGTAGACCCACCAAGTGTCCGGGTTAACATAAGACTGGCAACATCGAATGCGAGGGAAGGGAAGAGATTTGTCATTCGGTGAAATACAAACACCTTACTCCTTTGGCTCTGAATTCACAGAAAAGCCATCCCGCTTGACCTGTGACCGAAATGCACACATATTTCTCTTCTACCATTCTTTGTTTCGTATATGCACACAAATCCAAAAGAAAGCATATATTGGCCCTAAAAGAAATCTACAATTGTGTAAGTATTGTAATGAACAGGAAAAAAATTATTTATCATTTACACATCTTTTAAAACTTGAGTTTTCACTGCAAAGTCTGTAAATTTCATCTGATCCAACTTTTCTTATTTACGCCACAGCAGAACACAACCCTTATGAGTCCATCACCATACACTGGAGTTTTTCATCCTAAGTAAGCCAGGTGCAGGTTCTATACTTGTTTTACACTCACCTGTCTTCAGTTAGCTCTTGTCCTTAGAGGCAGTGAATCCACAGTGCTTTATATACAGCCCCAGTCTGCTGCTGCTTTTTGGAAGTGTTGACCTCACCCTATTAAAAGATTTACAGCTAAATCCCATAAATTATAGTAATAATCATAATAATTACAAATACTTTGAACTTATATAAGGGCTTTTATTCAAGAATGTCCTGGCATTTTGCAAACATTAACCAATTAGTTTCTTACCACATCTCGGAGAGCAGATCCTAATTGTAGGTTCCTGTGAATACTTTAGGTCTCACATTTGTCTTTATTCACACCAGTTTCCAGGAATGAGGCTAGTAAGAAAGAAAGGAAGGAAGGAATGGAGAAAGAAAAAGAAGGGTAAGGAAGAGAAGAAGGGAGAGAGAGAGACAGAATGAGACAGAGAGAAGGGAAAACAGGTAGAAGAAAGGAAGGAAGGATGGGAAGGAAAGAAAGAAGGGAGGGAGGGAGGGAGAGAGGAAGGAGGGAGGGAGGGAAGGCAGGCAGGCAGGCAGGCAGGAAGGAAGGAAGGAAGGAAGGAAGGAAGGAAGGAAGGAACTGATATTTGGACCAAGCAGAGCTTCTAGGTCAGGGGTCACTGATGGCACATTCCCCACTCAGACTTTGATTAGGATTTTGTTGTTCGTTACCCATGGCTGAGATGGTGAAGTCACAAGGCGGGGCACCACAAATGACAATCCAGACCCCAACACCTAGGGAGTCCCCAAGCCCTCGATTTAGGAGGGGAGTATGGGAATCCTCAGCTCCTCTTTGTGACAGGCAGAGTTGGGGTAAAAAGTAAAGAAGTAATGTATCGAATTAAAAACTATACCATACCTCTCCATGGGTCCCTTTCTCTCTATTTTGTCAAACAGTGACTAGCACACAGTGACAATTAAAATGGATTACAGTGTGAGGAAATCTGGGAATTCCCTGGCCTTGTCTACAAAGATACCATGTCATCAGCACTGAGGCCCACATTAGCATCCTGGAAATTTCTCTCTGGTCAGCAGCCAGTATGTTGCCTGGAAACCTCTTCACAGAAATGCTGTCCACCTTTGTTCTCAGCTTTGTATGGTTCACAGCCAGTTCCTTTATGGACAACATTCCTTTCAAAGATCTGATATATGCCCACAAGTCCTGTCCCAGAAAAAAGGAGGATCCTAGAAGCCAGTGGGGAGGGGGAGGGTGGTGTTAAAAAGAAAGCTTAGCTGGCCTTGGAGTGGAGCATATATAGTGCCAGCTGCTTAGGGGGCTGAGGTAGGAGTTTGAACCCAGGAGTTTAAGACCAATCTGGGCAACATAGCAAAAGAAAGAGAGAAAAGAAAACAAAAATTGGGAGGCTGAGGGAGGTGGGTCACATATTCAAGTCCTGCCTGAGCAATTTAGCAAGACCTTGTCTCAAAAAATTAAAAAAGGGGAGATGTAGCTCAATGTGAAGGCCCTGGGATCAATCCCCAGTGCTGCAAGAAGGAAGAAAGGAAGGACAAAAGAGAGAGAGAGACAGACAGACAGACAGACAGACATCTGTACTTAGTAAGACTAAATATCATAAAACAGCTCGACTTATTCCCCTTCACACCCCAGGCTGTTTTATCACTGCTGGAACATTACCAAGGCCACTCATTCACACATTATCCAAGGCTGCCTTTGTATACAAGGAGCAGAGGTGAGATCGCTTGCAACAGAGTGGTCACATGGCCCTTGAGCCTCTCTGGTTTACCAATCCTAGTTCACCAATCCCAGCTCTAGAATCTCTATTTGATCTGAGGAACAACAACAAAAAAGCAACTATAGAGAAAGTTGAATAGCTGCTCTTGAAGAAGGAGCAAGAATTGAAGAGTCCTGGCAGCATCCAAAGATCAAGTTCCAAATGGCCTTGGGGTCCAATCGCACTCCTGCCCTCAAAATCAATGGAAACACCCCAGTTGGCTAGGCCTGAAATCCTCTTCTTATTTAAGGTGGTTTGAGTCAGGCTGTTATTTGCAACCCAAGGACACTGCTGTCTAATTTACTCGCTTACTCACTTATCCCTTCTTTGTTAATTCAAAATTTAGTGGACACCTGATTCTTATTTTTTTTCACAATTTTAAAAATTAATTTTATTGGTACATTTTAGGTATACAATAAAGAGACATTCATCATTGGAAATTTGTACTTTTACATAATCACTCTTGGTTCTTATTTTTTCTCCATTCCCCTCCTCTCCCTTCAACCCCTCCATCCCTCCCTATTTACAAAGACTTTGTTTCCATTTTTTCATTTTCTCATATTAATTCCATTCCCTTCTTTCCTTCCCCTTTGCCCCTTTTCTTCCTATTTCACATTATCTATTATACCTTTTAGTCCTTATTTGATTCTGAGGCTGGCATGATCCTAGAGAGGCCCATGTGAAGCTTATACAGTGGACCCTTAAGTTACGACCAGCTTGACATATGAACAACTTGGGTTACAACTGGAATTTTAGTTTTAACTTACCAAAATCTTGAGTTATGACCTGAATACTAGCAACTTGTGCTTCCAGATGGTCTCAGATACAGATTTAACCATTAAAGAATTCTGGAAGGAACATTACAACATCCTTTCCTGTGTGGGGTTAACTGAGAAATCTAGGGCTGATGTCTCTCTAAGGACACTGAGATCTACCTGTACACAGGAGAGAAACTTTGAAGGCTATGTAGGGAAGCCTGAACCTTCACTGACCAACTTGAGTTAGAACCAGTCCTCGAGAATGAATTGAGTTTGTAAGTCAAGGGTCCACTGTATCCCAAAATAATGAGATGGGTTTCATCATTCTAAAGTTCTTTATATATTTTAGATAGTAGACCTTTGACTGAGAAACAGCTGGTAAAATATTTACTCACATTGTAGGTTGTCTCTTCATGCTGTTGGTTTCTCTCGCTGTGCAGAAGCTTTTTGTTTTTGTTTTTGTTTTTTTGGTACCGAGGATCAAACTTGGGTCCTTCCGCTTGTGAGGCAGGTGGTGGAACCACTGAGCTAAATCCCTGGCCCCCAAAGCTTTTTAATAAGAAGAGATCCCACTTGTTGATTCTTTGTGCTAGTTCATGTGCGACTGAGGTTTTGTTCATGAAATCTTTTCCTAAGCCAATGTCTTCAAGAGTTCTACCTAACTTCTATTCCAGCTGGTTTAGTGTCTCTGTTTTAATATTTATATCTTTAATCCATTCCAATTTTAGTTTAGTGCATGGTGAGAGATATAAATCTAGTTTTAATCTTTGGCAAGTTGAAACCAAATTTTTCCAGCACCATTAATTAAAGAGGCTATCTTTCCTCCAGTGAGGGTGTTTGGCTCCTCTATCAAAGATGAGATGGCTGAATGTGACTGGTGTTGTTTCTGTATCTTCTAATCTGTTCCACTGATCCTTGAGTCTATTTCTTTGGCAGTACCATGCTGCTTTTATCACAGTAGCTTTGTCATATAGTTTCAAGTTGGAGATTGTGATACCCTCTACCTTTTCTTTGTTGTCTAGAGTTACTTCTGCTATTCTAGGTCTCTTCCTGTTCCAAATAAATTTTTGGATTGTTTTCTCAAGGTTTGCAAAGTATGCTGTTGGAATTTCAATTGGGATTGCATTGAATCTATATAGCAGTTTTGGAAGTATGGCCATTTTCACTATGTTGGTTCTTCCTACCCAGGAGCAAGGGGTGTCTTTCCATTTTCTGATATCCTCTTCCATCTCTTTTATCAGAGTGCTATAGTTTTCAGAGTAGAGTTTTTGATTTCTTTCATTAGGTTGATTCCTAGGTATTTCATTGTTTGGGATGCTATTGTGAAAGGAGTTGTTTCTCCAGTTCCTCTCAGTGAGTCTGTTATTGGTGTACAGGAAGGCTATTGGCTTTTGTGTGTTGACCTTGTATCCAGCTACTCTGCTGAATTTGGTTAAGTCTAGAAGACTTTCGGTGGAGTTCTTGGGGTCTTCTATAGAGAGTATCATGTCATCTGCAAATAATGACAATTTAATTTCTTTGTTTCCTGTCTTTATTCCTTTTATTTCTTTCTCTTGTCTAATTGCTGTGGCTAATGTTTCCAAAACTATATTGAACAGGAGTGGTGATAGTGGACATTCTTGTCTTGTTCCTGATTGTAGCATGAAACATTTCAGTTTTTGACCATTTAGTACGATATTGGCTGTTGGTTTTTCAAAATGTCTTTTATCAGGTTGAGATAGAGACCATCTATTCCAATTTTCTGTAGGATTTTTTTTTTAAATCATGAATGGGTGTTGGATTTTGTCAAATTCTTTTTCTGCATCTATTGAGATGATCATATGGTTTTTGTCCTTGGGTCTATTAATATAGTGTGTTATATTTATTGATTTGTGTATGTTGAACCATCCCAGTAACCCTGGGATGAATCCCACTTAGTCAGGATGTATGATCTTGATGATCTTCTGGATTCTGTTTGCCAATATATTATTGAGGATTTTTGCATCCATGTTCTTGAGTGAGATTGTCCTGTAGTTCTCTTTTTTGATTGGTTCTTTCTCTGCTTTGGGGATGAAGTTGATGCTTATTTTCGGGAATGAATTTGGGAGTATTGTTTCCCTTTCAAGTACATTGAAGAGTTTAAACAGTACTGGCAATAGTTCTTCTCTAAATGTTGTGTAGAATTCAGCAGTGAACCCATCAGGATCCGGGCTTTTCTTTGTTGATAAGTTTGTAATTACGTTTTCAATTTCATTGATTGAAATTGGGGTGTTAAGAATTTTTAGGTCTTCTTTGTTCAACTTTAGTAATTCATATGTATCTAGAAATCTGTCCATTTCTTCTGTGTTTTCCATGTTATTGGTGTATAGATTCTCAAAGTAGGTATTGATGATCCTCTGTATTTCTGCTGGATCCATTTTAATTTCACCCTTTTTGTTCCTAATTGCATGGATGTAAGTCTTTTCTTTCCTTTTTTTGACAAAGTTGCCTAAGGGTTTGTCAATTTTGTTTATTCTTTTGAAGAACCAACTCTTTGCTTCATTGATTTTTTTGCATCGTTCTCTTAGTCTCCATTGCATTGATTCCTGCTCTGATCTTTCTAATTTCCTCCCTTGTATGAGCTGTGAGTTTATCCTG